CATCAAAAGAAAGTGATCTGAGCTCATCTGGAAGGAACCAGGAAAAGCTTCAACAAAACAAATCAGAATAAAGGGGCAGAATAATCCCCTCTGATTGGTTAATTAACACATCAGTAGTCCACCTGATGTGTTGAGGACCAGCTGTTCTGCAGACAACGTTCAAAATGTCGCCTTGAAAAGATATGAATAAAAGTGCCGACTGAGTAAAATCCATCAATCTCTGTTTATTTAACTGGGGTGAATAGTTGAATACTTTTTCCCTACGACACTAGTCATGGTTGGATTCTGTTGATGGGATGATTGAACGTGTCAAGAACTGCTGACTTGGTTCACCTGGCAGGTATGTCAATGTTAGAGATGGCGTAGAAGTACTTCAGAAGGTTGTCGCTCTGGACGTAGGTTCCTCCCAATGCAGGGCGGAGGAGTCGCAGCCGCAGGTTGGAGAAGGTAAAGAAGTCTCTGAGACCCTTCATGGTCTCCATCCGGGTGTAAAGGGCATCCATGTTGATAAGCTTTGGACCAGCGAACACGCTGAACCGAGCACGCACCTCAAACACCACATTCTTCTCCTCCTGGAGCAGTTTTTGTTACAAACAGTGACATCAATCAGCAGAGCGTTCAAAGAGTCCTTTAGAAGTTTCCCCAGAGAGACCAGTTGCAGATTCAGTTACTCACCTTGGCCCCAACCCAGCGGGAGTACTTCTCAGTGCAGATAACCCGGGTGAGGTTTGTTGGTGCTAAGTCAGAGACCTGTTTAGGCGACATGCCAAAGGACTCCAGGCAGTCGTCAGCGTAGTACTGATACGGCTGCCATGTCACACCTGCAGGACAAAAAGCACCACTTTCAATGATTGTAGCTCTGTGTTGCAGCATGAAGCTTGGATGAGAAACCTCGGATGAACCAACACTGATCCTTCAGGTGTTTCCGGCTGATTTCTAGGTTAACCATCTGTGTTTTTTTAATGTTATATGAACATGTGACCTCCTGGTTTAAATGTGCTGGTTTCTGTTGAATAAACAACTTTCTGCTTCTACCCTCGCCCTCAGAGGGACCAGATGTGGTCCAGGTGTCCCCTTACCTTTGTCCATAGATTTTTCCAGCACCATGCTGGTTGGTCTCCCATATTCAAAGGTAATGATGATGTCATCAACCACCTCCAGGCTCTTGTTCCATGACAAAGTGATGTTAGCCAATAGAGGCTCAGGATACCTGGACCAGGTGACTGTCTGCCAATAGGTGATAAGCCCACCTCTCTCCCTGTCCCCCATTAGCTGAGGAGGGTGAGACAGGTCAGGGCTGGAGGCATCACACTCATCGCTGCACAGGTACGGGTTCTCCTGTCAACACAGAGCAAATGAAGAAAATCAGAGGGACATCTGAAGGGACCCTGCGTTCCTTTGGTCTGATAAATGAAACGTGTTGAAACAGGATGTTCTCACTGATGATGAACATATCTGTGACTGTTTTAGCAGCAGCTGTCTTGATCTTGGTACTGATGACTGGCTTCCAGCTTCTTTTTAAACTGCCTTCTTCCAGTCATCAGTACCAGTTTATTTGAGCCCTTGGTGAAAGTCTTCTACCATGTCTTAGTGTTTCTGATTGCCTGATCTTGACCCGTTCAGGCTTTGGACCTCTGAGCTTGCCTGTTCCATTCTGATCTGTTTGTCTGACCTGTCTTCAAGCTCCTGTTTACTGAACCTCGATCTGCTTCCTGACACCTTCCTGGATTTCCCTTCAGTGCTTCTTCGGATCTGTGATCTTCTGCCCCGGACGCCTGAACATCTCCTTCACACCAACTTTGGCTTCGCCATCTGGATAATGCTGCCTTCCTTCTTAGACTTAGAATGACTTAGAAAACTTTTATTGTTGACAGTGTGGGAGAAAAAACATGGTGCAAAAAATGCATTGATATGGAAGTTCAGAGCATTAATATATATGGTGCAAATCTGCAGTATTGTTGGTTTGGTGTCATCAGTGTGATGCAGAGTCTGTGATTTAAAGTTTTACACATCAGTTCATCATTCTGATGGCGGTGGGGAAGAACCTGCTGGTCCTGCATTGAATGCTGGGAAGCCTCTTCCCAGAGGGCAGCATGGTGGGGGGGTGAGGGGTCATTGATGATGTCACGGGACACGCAGCACTGGGATGAAATGTCTTCAATGGAGGGAAGAGGAGCCTCCATGATCCTCTCTGCTGTTCTCACCACTCTTCTCAATTTCTTCCAGTCTGAGGCGCTGCAGCCTCCACACCACACAGTGAGACCGGACCAGTCCACCAGCTGCTCCACCTCCTCTCTGTAGTCCTGGTCGTTGTCATCTCTGATGAGGCCCACCACCGTGGTGTCGTCTGCAAACTTCACCATGTGAT